CACAAATGGCATCGATAAGAAGGAACATCCTTTTAAGGAAGCAGACAGTGTCTCCCCGGGTGCTCCCACGCCATCTGATTCCTGTGCCCCCAAATTCAACTGTTTACGCTCACTCCAGGTATCGGCCAGTAATGACACTAGTGCAGCCAGTTCTGAAGCCCCCTCGGATGTTAACGGAACAAAGCAAACTGAACAGGCTGAGGATCCGAATACCACAGAGGAAACTGCAGCTGGGCTGCTTCTCCTTCATTCAAGCAATACTCCTGAAAAACAAGATGTTTGTCACCACAGGCCAGCACATTCCAAAGTACCAAGGTTGGTAGATGGTGGCCTAAGCAATGACAGCCCTAATGATGAAGCCTTAAACTCTAGTCATCAGATTCCCAAAGTGCAGAAATACATCAGCTTCAGCCAACCGCTCTCCGAGGCGACTGCCTGCATTTCCCCAGGTGACAGTGCCACGGTCAACAAGCAACTCGGCCCACAGGTTTCCAGCAAAGACACTGACAGTGACTATGAGCTTTGCCCAGAGATAACCCTAACCTACATGGAAGAATTTTCAGATGATGACCTGGAGTATCTGGAATGTTCCGATGTTATGACAGATTACACTAATGCAGTTTGGCAAAGAAACCTGCAGGGGACTGAGCATGTTTTTTTATTAGAAAGCGATGACGAAGAGAAGGAATTCAGTGAGCATGGCCTGGGTGGGTGTGGGCACTTCCTCAGTGAAATGGGTTGCGGGCCTCGGGTGTCAGATGACACTGGGTCTATGGGCGCCACCACTGGCTTCTGTGGTTATCACTCACAGCCCCAAGAAGTGGGGACAAGGAACAGCAGAGCCTGCATGCATGGTCCCTTATCCCCACAAACAGGGATGACTCTTACTTTGGGACCTCACCAGGATGGAACATCTACGGTGACAGAACAGGGGAGATATAAACTCCCTGCTTCTTCTGAGGCTGCTGAAAATGATTATCCAGGAATTCAAGGAGACAGAGATAGCCACCAAGCAGGAGAGGAATTCTCCAGTGACCATCTGCTAAACATGGATAAAGCAGCGACAGAGACCCAGAGGAAGCCCTTGTCTGGTGAGTTAGAAAAATCAGGGATGAACCAGTGTTGGGAGATGGCTGAGAAGAGAGGAGGGGAAAAGGGCTTGTGGAGTAAGAGGGGCCTACAGACACCTGCCAGGGGGAGGCGACCAGGAATTAAGGGAAAACCCAAGAAGCTGAATGCCAACCTGAAAGAGAGTGCAACAGCAGGCAGCCTTAATCTCCTCCGTCCCAAAGGACCTGCTAAGCACCCACTAACCCGGAGTGGTGAAAGAGAGACTCCTCATGCCAAAGCAGGAGCTGCTGATTGGAATTCCCACTTCCATGCAGGAGAATGTGCCCCTTCAACCCAGGCAGAGCAAGAAGTGGAAACCCTCCAAACTCCAACAGACTCACTCCCCAAAGCAGGGGACGCTGGCTTCAAGGGAGAAGGGATGCAGGTTAATACCCTATTTGAAACAAGCCAGTTTCCAGACCCAGGTAATCGTCCTCAGGTAAGACTCCTCTTTTTAAAAAATTACAAGATAAAAGGCATTTGAGGGCGTGTGTACGTGTTTTCCTGCACATGATATTCACGACTGCTGTAGCCTAATGTAAATCAAAAGTCCCCCAGTACCATCGGGGTACTTGTGAATGACAGCTGCTGCTGCTGCTGCTAGGAAGGAAATCTGGTTTTGAAAAAAGGCCCAGATAAATCCTAAGCCATCCTAATTATAGCAAAAGACTGATAGAAGTAAGAGGCACTAATGGGATTCTGGACAGCTGGAAAAAGAAATCTGATATTTTGTCTACTGCATGTGTTTTACTAGGCAATGTCACTATTCAGAAAGTTTCTCAAGCAACTGTTTTGGGTGTAGTCTTTAAAGGAAAAAAAAAACTTTCTTTTTAGCCATTTCGGGGGGTTACTTTGAAAATGATGGGTTTTGGCTTTAATCAGAATTCAAAATACAGATGAAAGATTTCAAGGTGTCTGAAAGACTTGTAGAATTCACTTTGTGATGCTGGAGAAAGATTTTGCTATGCTGGTGGATGTTTTTGATTGGATGTTTGTTTTATTTTGTTTTTCTTAAACCACAAAGTATAAAAGAGGCTAAGAAAATACTGCGAGGAAATAAATTTGTTTTCTCCTTTTACTGATTTGGGGGTGTAAACAGTTTTAAAGCATTCCAAATGGGCTTTGCACTGATGCTGTGCTATGGCCAAGATTTGATTTTTGTAAATAAGTACCTAATAAAAGTTATTTATCAGGTTGTTTTTAGTACACTTTGTGTTCCCCTCGACCACAATCTTGTAGTAGTAACCTAGTATTATTTTTATAAAAGACAATAAATACTCCAAAAAAAATTCCCAAATGCAAAGTTACTTAACTGTCTCTGTGAAAAAATAAAAAATTGAGACATTGGTTTTTAAAGACCCAGTTATAAAATAGCTTCAGATCTGAGGAAGCTTTTGGCTGAGCAAATTATTCTGTTCTCCCGGCCCAATGAGCCAGACAAAAGCCCCATTGCCACGTTTATGCTTTACTGTTTG